CCCATCCTTCAAAATTTCTTTCAGGCCTCATTTACAGGTCCTCAATCAGGCTCCCACAAGCATAATTCAGAGCTCTTTCTTTGTGCCCTTAAAGCTTCCTATGTACACTGAAATCATAAGGTGTTTTTGTTTTTGAGACAGAGTCTTGCTCTGTTGCCCATGCTGGAATGCAGTGGCACGATCTCAGCCCACTGCAACCTCTGCCTCCCAGGTTCAAGCGATTCTCCTGCCTCAGCCTCCTGAGTAGCTGGAACTACAGGCACACACTGCCATGCCTTGACTAAATTTTTGTAGTTTTAGTAGAGACAGAGTTTCATTCCATTAGCCAAGATGGTCTCGATCTCCTGACTTTGTGATCTGCCCGCCTCGGCCTCCCAAAGTGTTGGGATTACAGGCATGAGCCTATGCACCTGACTGAAATCATAGTTCTTATACAACACTAGGAGCTTGCTTATATTTTGACTTTTCCTACCAGGGCATAGTCTCTTCAAAAACAGGAACTACAAACATATTCTAAGTTATTCACATAGGTGCCAAACACAGAATAAGAACTCAGTAAATATTAAGTGGATAAATTAATTTTTAAAATAAGCTTATTTTTTTAGGATCAGCCAAGAATTGAAATACAAAATCCAGAAAAGATGATACGATACCATTCTACCATGTTACCTAGATTTGTTGTCAGCAAGGTAATTTTCCTATAAGAACACTGACATTTCTCCCATTTATGTATGCAACTAAATAATAAGTGGGGTTTCATTTCATCTAATTAAGAAATGGGATGAAACACAGCCAAAAACCATGTTAGCAGTTGCCAGAAAAGTAATCTGGAACACTGTGTACACTGGAACAACAGCAATGAAAAAAATCAATATAGAGTTAATACAAAAATGTATACAGCAAAATCAAAAACAGACTTAGGAAATTAGATGTCTTTCAGTTAATGCATTTTTTTGTTTTGGGTTTTGATGGGAGTTGTGGGGGAGGGTGATTTGAAATAAATGTTGTTCTTTCTCTCTGGCAAAGATTATGGAATATTTTAATTCTGAAAGCAATCGGTGATGAATACGAAAAGTTTCACCTTTTTTCCTGTAAGTTTTCCCTGAATAGTAGATTCTTGTTACTTGCAACAATTCTGAATAACATAGTTTTTATTTTAAAAATCATCAGGTAATATCACTGTATGTAATGCTAGGTAAAATATTAAGTAAATAGTGGAAAACATAAAAATGAATGTCACACTGATGGCAGGGACTCTACCTTGCTTACCAATAGAGTCCAGATTCTAGCAAAGTACTTGAAATATTTAATAGTCAGAGAAAAAAGAGAAATGAAAAAGAGAGGGAAAGAGAAGAAAAGAGAAGGAGGCAAGAGAAGAACAAATTACCTCAAAAATAAGGAAATTAAGGTGTGAAGTAGGTCTCTGAGAATTTGTACTCCAAAATAAACTGAGACATGAAGAATGAAAGAAAAAGAATCCACATACACTTAAATCTTCCTGCTATTTGTCCACTTGAATCCATTTTCTTCATCCTTGGCAAACAACTAAGATACATTTCCAAACCCTTCTTGCAACTGAGTAACAATCTCCCTTAGGTTATACCTGTGATTGAGTTTCAGCTAGTGGAATGTGGAAGGCAATATGTGCCACTTTTAGAGTTGGTCCATACAAATTCCCATATATGCTCCTGCATGCTCCTTTGCCTTCCTTTTGTTGAATCTAACCATAACTCTCTAAGTCCCTAAGGGTGACAAGATAGAAGAATTCTGGATCTCCGAAAAACATCATGGAGAAGAAATACCACAGCACTGTGAACATCCCCCTAGGACTACTGTTTGCACCACTACATGTTTGAGTTTACTTACTGCTGTATTATTAGTAGAAACAAGGGTACTGTGAAGAAGAAAGCTGCCATAATGAAAAGCTGGGATAGCAAAGTTAAGTGGCAAGGAAACAAATGTTCCAAGTTAGAAAAATGAAGAAGATTCATGTTCTGCGGTAGTTGCATATTTTGTAAATCTACTGCATGCGATAACATTTAAGGTGGATTTGAAAGGAGAAGCTGTTGGAAAAGGTCAGAACGTTAATTTGTCTTGATTGTTGCTTGATGCTTAAAGCAAGGTATTTAAAAATGACATGAGTTCACAAAAGAAATTTATCATTTTGCAAGTGGAGATAAAAAGGGATTAAAGAACATCCAAAAATTTGAATCTATTCATTTTTAAAAAGCTAATCTGTTTTTGTCATACAAACAATAGAGTAAGGGACTGAAAAGGCTCTAAGCAACAAAGATCCACTAAGAATTTTTAGTTAAACCCAGGGTTTGGTAATTTCTTTCTGAATGAAATAGAATAACAGAGTAAACCAGTCATTTTCAGACATTACCCACTTTCTGCTTGGAGGTAATTTCTGGACCACAAGGCAAGGAAGAAAAATCCAAGGAGCTAACCATTAATTAAACATTAGTCATGCAAAACTGAGGAGACATAGATTGAGTTCAAGGAGACCAAGGTACTACACTTTGCAGGACAGTGTACCAGATAAAAGGGAGGTCCAGAAATTTTCATAGGGATCCCATTGTGTCTTTGTTTAAATACATGCATAGCATACAGGTTATAAAAGGTATAACTCTACATGCATGGCTGAGGAGAAAAGAACTTCCACGAAGCTCTAAGCCAAATAATTCCCAGAGCTCACAAAGGGATGGGAATAATTTAAGTTCCCGCCAGCTACAGTAAAAAGATCTTATTGAATATGTTGCATTTACTAGAGACACCAGAAATGTCAAATCTCAGTAAACTCTACCATGAACCCATTCTTTAATAAACCTAAACAAGAACATTAAAAAATATGAAATTGATATTCAGGTAATGTAGCTATCTGCTAAAACAAAATCCAACACATTTTTAAGGAATATTTTAAAATTCAGCCCTCAAATAAAATTCAAAATATCCAGCATCCAACCAAAAACCACTAGATACATGAAGAATAAAGGAAAGTATGACCTATCATCAGAGGAAAAAAAAAAATCTGTCAATACAATCTTACCTAGAAGCAATGAAATTTGCAAATGACATTGAAACAGTTATTACAAATATGCATGAAATTCTCAAAAATATAAAATAAAACATGAAAATGAGTAAATAAAAGGAATTATAAGAAAAAACAATTGATGAAAACTACAAACTCACAGATTCTAAAGCTCAAAGAACACACACACACAAAACATACCAAGGCACACCATGATTAAATTGCTGACACCAGTGACCAAAAAAAAAAAAAAAAAAGTCTTAATAGCAGAGGGGGAAGAAAGACACACACAAAGAGATAATAATAATAGTAGACTTCTATCAGAAACTATGAAAGAGGACATTAGAAGACAGCTTTAAAGTGCTAACATAAAAAACGGATTATCACCTAAAATTCAATATCCAGTGAAAACATATTTCAAAAATAAAGGCAATGACACTTTTTTAGGCAAACAAAAGTTGAGACAATTGTTGTCAGAGACCTGTCCTACAAGAAACTGTAAGTTCTTCAAGCTGAAGGAAAGTAATACAAGTTGGTAACTCAAATCTACACAAAGATATTTTTAAAAAACCTTTGGAAATAATAAGTGCATGGGTAAATGAAGAATATTTCTTTCTCATTTTTAACATCTTTGAAAGTTAAAGCATAAATAATGTCAATGCATTCTGGGTGTCATTTAAAACATGTAAAAGATATAGCATGTGTTTTGTGTACAGAAAGGTTTATAACATAGGTAGAAGACAAATTGCACAATTTCAGACTTAAACTGACGTTGATAATTTACTGAATGTAACTGGTCTAAATGCTATAATTAAAATGCAGAGATTAGAAGTTTAAATTTTAAAAAGCACCTAAGTAAAAGTCAACAGAACTAAATGGAGAAGTGAACAAATACACAAATATAGCTAAGGATATAACATTCCTGTCTCAGTAATCGAAAGAACAAGTAAATAAAAATTCAAGAGGTATACTAAATTTAAATAACACTATCAACAGACTTGACCTAAAATACATATATAGAACACATCACCAAATAACAGTACTTCTACTGTTACACATTTAATAAAATATATTCAAAACATGTAAACTCTATAATATAACTGCAGAGACTACTGAAATAAATAAAAAACAAACCATGTTCATTGACTGGAGCATTCAATACTATTAAGTCAATTCTCTCCTAACTGGTCTACAGTAGTGCTGTTCGATAGAACTTACTGCAATGATGTAAATGTACTGTATTAAGCTTTCCAAGACACTGACCACATGTGGCTATTGAACACTTGACATATGGTAGTGTAAATGAGGAACAAATTTTTAAGTTTTGTTTAATTTTAATTAATTTAAACTTAAATAGCCACATGTGGATAGAGGCTAGAATATTGCATAGTACATGCTACAGATTTAATGTAATTCCAAACAAAATCTCAGTAAGCTTTTTGCAGAAACTGACAAGCTGATTACAAATGCACATTAAAAGATAAACTATCTATTATTTTTTAAAACAATGATAAAAAATACACTACCTGATTTCAAACTTACTATAAAGCTATGGTAATTAAGATGGTACATTATTGGCATAGGGGTAGATACACAGACCAATGAAACAGGATAGTGAGTCCAGAATTATAAATATAGATATAATACATATTAAACCTATAGAGAACGTCCAGGACTCCTGCCGAGTCAGAAGACATTGGATTCCCTCCGGGGCGCGCCCCAAGTAGCTCCCTTCGCTGTGGAAGCGGCGGTGTCTTCGAAGAAACCGGAAGCCCGTGGTGACCCCTGGCCACCCGGTTTGTTTTCGGTCCGTTTCCAAACACTAAGGAATCGAACCTCGGCGGCCTTGGGGGCAGCCCTACGTAGCCTGGCTTCTGGGTTTTAGAGGCAGAGTTTGATTTGAATCCTACTCTATGCACTCTTCATTCAGCAATCAATATTTATTGAGCAACTTCTACACAGCGCTGTCATGGATGCACTGGTAGAAGATGATATCTGCATTCTGAATCATGAAAAAGCTCATAAGAGAGATACAGTGGCTCCAGTTTCAATATATTCAGGAGATGAATCTGTTGCTTCTCATTTTGCTCTTGTCACTGCATATGAAGACACCAAAAAACGACTTAAGGATTCAGAGAAAGAGAACTCTTTGTTAAAGAAAAGAATAAGATTTTTGGAAGAAAAGCTAATAGCTCGATTTGATGAAGAAACAAGTTCTGTGGGATGAGAATAAGTAAATAACGCTTATCATGCATATCGAGAGGTTTGCATTGATAGAGATAATTTGAAGAGCAAGCTGGACAAAACGAATAAAGACAACTCTGAATCTTTGAAAGTACTGAATGAACAGCTACAATCTAAAGAAGTAGAACTCCTCCAGCTGAGGACAGAGGTGGAAACTCAGCAGGTGATGAGGAATTTAAATCCACCTTCATCAAACTGGGAGGTGGAAAAGTTGAGCTGTGACCTGAAGATCCATGGTTTAGAAAAAGAGCTGGAACTGATGAAGAAAGAATGTAGCTATCTCAAAATAGAACTGCAGAAAGCCAAACAAACGGATCCACATCAGGAAGACAATCTGAAGAGCATAGATCTCCAAAAACTAAGCATTTCAAGTGATAATATGCAGCATGCACACTGGGAACTGAAGAGAGAAATGTCTAATTTACATCTGGTGATTCAACTACAAGCTGAACTCCTAAGAAAACTGAAAACCCCAACTGCAATCAAGAAAGCCTGTGCCCCTGTAGGATGCAGTGAAGACCCTGGAAAAGGCAGCATAAAACTGCACTTGATGAATTTTACTGCAACATACACAAGACATCCCCCTCTCTCACCAAATGGCAAAGCTCTTTGTCATACTGCATCTTCCCCTTTAACAGGAGATATAAAGATTTTATCAGAGAAAGCAGTCCTCCAACCATGGACCCATAATGAGAGATCCATTCTTAAGGATGGTACATCCTTTCAGGAACACAGTTCTTATGGCAGAAATTCTCTGGAAGACAATTCCTGGGTATTTCCAAGCCCTCCTAAATCAAGTGAGACAGCATTTGGAAAAACTAAAAGTAAAATTTTGCCTTTATCCAACCTTCCACCACTGCATTACCTGTATCAACATAATCAAAACTGCCTTTATAAGAATTAATTTGGAAGAGATTCATGATTTGACCATGAGACACTTATCTCTTTCAGTGGTTCTCCCAATATTTAAGGAACTGAAAGGGGATTTTGATTAAAATTTTGCAGAGTTCTTCAGTATCTATATTTGAACATACTGTACAAAATGTACAAAAACCAACATAGTTGGTTTTCCAGTATGAAGGAGCACCCTCTAGCTCTGTATTATAAGAATCCAAAATATGCTACTATACTAATTAGTAAGTAAACTTAAGGTGTTTAAAAAAGAGAACTCTCCTTTCGATAACAACAATTTTGCCTTTCAAATAAAAGAATGGAATTGGAGATTTTAGATGCGGTTTTACAAAGTGTGCGAAATGTCTAAATATCTGTTCATAAAAATAAATGGAAACAGTGTATGTTGCTTCAAATTGCATAATGGAACAAATGGCAATATGAATAGGTTACATTTCTGTTACAATGCATAAAGATGGAAAATATAATGAAATAAAAGCTTCTTAGGTTATACCACCTTTATATGTCACTGTGTTTCAATGTTTAAGATTTAAAGTGATTTCTTAGTGTTTTGTTGGAAAAATTTTAGAATTGCAGTTTGAATTCTAAGACGTGAAATAACCTAATCATTGAAGCCAACTTTGTCCTGGTACATTCCGTAAGTCCTAATTGAAAAAAAAAAAAAAATTAAGATGAAATAGTTGAAAAACTCTATGAGGTGTAAACAAATGATTGTAACTCCATACACCAGGCGTCCCAAAACTTTTTACACAGGGGGCCAGTTCACTGTCCCTCAGACCGTTGGAGGGCCGTCACATACTGTGCTCCTCTCACTGACCACCAATGAAAGAGGTGCGCCTTCCTGAAGTGCGGCAGGGGGCTGGATAAATGGCCTCAGGGGGCCGCATGCGGCCCTCGGGCCATAGTTTGGGGATGCCTGCTATACACCATTCAGTTAGAAGTAGAAGGAGCATTCACACAGGTTTCAGTCTAATCTGCCACTTCAGTAGGCCATTATATAAACCTAAATATATGTAATGATAAAAAGTCATTTTCTTCAAAGGATCTACAGCTGCTTGTTAGGTAGAGCAGCTTCTAAATTGTTAGACCCTGTGTTGAAATGTAATATTCTATTTATTGAGAAAGTGGCTTTAGGAGTTTTAATCATAGAAATCAAATGTTGGGCTGTATTGATATTATCAATCATGAAATATCCACACACTCTTATTCTAAGTGGCCAATTACTTATAAACAAAGAAGGAAATAACAAAGACGGCTTCAAATGGAAATTTATCTAAATTCTTTCAGGGTGGAGATTTACTTGGTTAATATACTTTTTGTCTGAGTTAAAGTATTTTATGTAGGAGGACTTTATCTTTTTGATAGAGTTTCATATATCTCATACTCAAAAGAATATCTCAGATCTCTTCTACTGTATTGCTGAATAGCATACATACATAAGACAATGTTCACCATTCACCTGATATTTTTGTCTATTATCTTACACTTATTCAAGCTTGTCTGTGATTAATGGAATTGGTGTCAGATGCTGGAATTTATTCTGACCAATGAACACAGCTGACTCAAAAGAGTACAATCTCCTGCCAAGTAATAGAACCAAACCCAATATGCATAAAACAAATACAATACTCCAGGCTTTAGCTGAAGGAAGCAACTACCTGTGTAATAACAAAGCAGCAAAAACGATTTCTCATGTGGCTGCATAGGCTATATATTATATCTGATCTCTAATGTAGCTTACTGGTTTGCCTTTTTTAAAACCAAAATTGGAAATTTTCCTTTGTAAAGAAAAAAAGTCTTATGAGATAATTGCTTGATTAATGTTTTGAACAATACCAAGAAATTAATTAAAATTATTTTTGTTTGAAAAAAACAAACAACAAAAAACAACAAAAACAAATAAACCTATAACATGTGCATACACATACATACATATACATATACATATACATATACATATACATATACATATACAACTGGTTTCAGACAAAGATGCCCATGTAATTTCATGGAGAAAGGACAGTCCATTCAAACTAAATGGTACTGGAAAAATACGAAAAATAATTACATATCCATACAAAACCATATCCAAAAAACAAAAAAAAAGAATCACAGACCCAAATTTAAGGCTAAAACTAGACCAATGGAACACAACAGAGAACACAGAAATAAATCCACACACAGCCAACTGATTTTTGACAAAGGCACAAAGAACACAAATTGGAAAAGAGACAGTCTTTTTAATAAATGGTGCTGGGAAAACTAGCTTTCCACATCCAAAAGTATGAAACTAGACCCTGATCTTTCACCATATACAAAATTTGACTCAAAATAGATTAAAGACTGAAATGTAGATCCAAAATTATAAAAAACTATTAAAAGAAAACAAAGGAAAAACACTTTATGACATTGGTCTGGATAAAGATTTTTTGGATAAGAACAAAAAAGTACAGGCAACAAAAGCAAAAATAGGCAACTTAAATTACATCAAATTAAAAAATGTCTGCACAACAGAGGAAACAACAGAGGAAGAGACAACCTACAAGATGGGGAAAAAAATCTTTGAAAACTGTGCATCTGACAAGATGGTAATATCCAGAACATACAAGGAACTCAAATAACTCAATAGCTGACAAACAATCTGACTTTAAAATGGGCAAAAGACCCGAATAGACATTTCTCAAAAGAAGACATACAAATAGCTAACAGATATATGAAAAAACCCTCAACCTCAGTAATTATCACTGAAATGCAAATGAAAAACACATTGAAGCTGGCATGCACCTGTAGTCCCAGCTACTCAGGACGCTGAGGTGGTAGAATCACTTGAGCCCAAAAAATCGAGTGCGGTGAGCCACGGCAACACTGCAACACTGCACTCCAACCTGTGTAACAGAGCAAGTCCCTGTCTCAAATAAACAAATAAATTAAACTTTTTTAAAAGCTAAAATCACAAAATTTCTAGATAAAAGAATAGAAGAAAAATCTCTGCAAACTTGGGTTAGGCACAGTCTAATGTGATTATGGACACAATCAAACGAACCATATAAAAATCTGATAAATTTAACCTAATCAAAAGTAAAACTCATTCTTCAAAAGATATAGTTAGAGAATATGAGAAAGTAAACTATAGATGATACAATATTAGAAATACATAATTAAAAATTTGCATCGGGTATATTTTTAACTCATTAATTATAAGAAGACAAACACAACTCAATTAAAAATAGGCAAAAGATCTGAACAGACATTTTACAAAGCAGATATACAAATGGCCTATAAGGACATGAACTGATGCTCAGCATCACCACTAAGATGACACTCAGATACATGTACATCAATGCCACCTCACAGATACAACAAGGAAAAAAATTAAAACTGTACCAACTGTTGGTGAGAATGTAGAGCAATTAAACACTCATATTGCTCTTGGGAATAAAAATTGTACAACCACTTTGAAGAAAAACATAGATTTAAAAATTTTTTAAACACATGCTTATCTAGCAATTTCACTCTTGGATATTTTCCTAAGTGAAATGAAACATATAAACATGGAAAACTTGTGCATAGCAGCTTTATTTGCAATAGCCCCAAACTAGAAACAACCTAAAGATCCACTAGCAGATAAATGGATTGACAGAATATGGCATATTCACACAATGAGATACAATTCACCAATTTAAAAGAATGAACTACTAAAAACATGCAGCAGCATGAATGAATCTCAAAAACATTATGCTGAGCAGAAGCCAGGCACAAAGAGTACTTAGTGTATGTATGATTCCATTTACATGAAACTCTAGAAAAGACAAATCTAATTTTTAGTGACAGAAAACAGTTCAATGGTTTCTTGGAGCCAGGAGTTGGATACTAGACTAGAGACTGACTGGCAAGTGACATAAGGGAGATTTTATGGGTGATGGAAATGTTCTCTATGTTGGTTATGGCGGTGGTACATGGGTCTATTTGTCGAAGCTCATCAAACTTTACACTTATAATGCATACCTCTCTACCCAAGCCTACTATCTCAGGTAGGCTCAGGGTAACCATAGTTAAGTCAAAAGAGACAGAAGAAGGGGGTGGAGGGTATTGACAGCAAGAAAAATAAATAACATACATACATACAGAGATTTAAGATCTGCATCTAGGAAAAATCGTTGGATACAGTTATTTGTACATGGAATTAACAAGGAGCAGATAGTAGAGAAGTTCACTGAGTTTTAAAGTAATCAAATTCACAAAGAAGCAAAAGGCCAGACCTGAAAAAGCCTCTGAGTCTTAAAACAACCTTTGTGACAAGTGTTTACAAGAAAGTAGGCTGTGAAAGCTGTGCATCTCTCAAGAATGTCACAATCCCCTACTACCACTTCAGATATGTCAAAGATGATAATGGACAAGGAAGAAACTTTCAGAAGTTGAACACAGGAAGAAGAATAGATAACAGACAAGAGAGTTCTCTCAGAAAGTAAATTCGGATTTAATCAAGATACCTCCATCACTGCCAGCATAGAAAGACCTCACAATTGCCTGCCCTGTAGGCACCCACCACTGCTGTGGACTTGCGACTGTGACGTATTTCCCAGTCTTGCTTTCTCACGGGAGTTCATATCTCAGATAATAACTAATCAACAAGCTCCACATACAGTCCTCAGCAATCTATTTGGAATCCTGAACACATACCTCATATTAGGGACTACTGACCACAGCATGTCCTGGGCGCAGGCAACAGCAGGGAAACTCTTTTAACTGGTTCCAGCTGGATAACTTGTGACCAGTTAGAACCACCAGATCTTTCTCAGTCAATGTTGTCCTTCGCCCACAAACCAAATCCAAGCTTCTCTGGTCATCTATCCTTGATCAGGAATTTCTACTACAGCAAAAGTTTCCATTAAGGCAATTGGCTTTGTTGGGACCTACTAAATAGAGAACATGATTTGCATTATACCCACCTCTACCAACACCATTACTGAAAATTGTAATTTTCTGTTTTTC